CGTGAGCCCCGGTCGGACCCCGCACAGGCGCCGGGGGACGGGGCGGCGGGCCCGGCTCCTCGATGTCCGCTCCCGAGCAGCCTCCGTCCTTGTCCGCAACCTGCAGTCACCCGGGACCCGAGGAAGAGCAGAGCCCTCGGGGCTGCGCAGGACGGGGCCTCCCCGACTCCCGGGAGCAAAAAACAAATAGAAAGGAGAAGAAAAAGAAACGCCCGTGAAAGCCGGAGGTGGGGCTCCCTGGAAGCCTAGCTTAGTCCGACACCTTCGTGCCACTCACAAAGATGGCCGCACGCGCCTCGCCGCCCTTCACCGGCATGGCCGCCCACGGGGGTGGCCGGAAGTGATGCGAGGGAGCGGAAGTTCTGTTTGGCGCGCGCCGCCGACGGCCGAGCGGCCGGCTGTGCTCTTCGGGTCTCGCGATGTGGCTGGCGTCGGGGCGCTCCGGGGTCCCCGAGGCGCTGTGGCTGCTGCTGTTGCTCCTGCTGCTAGCGGCGCGCGGGGCAGCGGCTTTGGAGCCCCTGAGCGTGGGCCTCGCTATCGGGGTGGTGTCGGCGTTCACCGGCTACCTGTCCTACGAGGACTGGTACTGCCGCTTCGCCGAGTGCTGCGATGCGCAGCGGCCGCTCAACGTCTCCGGTGCGTGTGGCGGGCGGCGGGCGGCGCGGGGCGGAGGGGCGGGCGCCGGCGGGCAAACTCGGCCGCGGCTGTCGGGTCTCGCTCTGGAAAGCTGAAAGTGCCGGGCGTGGAAGCGCACACTGTAATCCCAGCACTCCGGGAGGCTGAGGCAGGAGGATGGCCCCAAGTCAGGCCAGCCTGGGCTCAATAGCGAGACTCGGGAAAGAAAGACGAAACTGAAAGCGGCGCGGCCGCCACCCCTCCGCACCCCCGTCCCGGTGCGGCCCTCCACACTAGTTTGCAGAGATGCGGGGTCTACCCGGCTCGCTCTCCTCTGGCCCCTGGTTTTCCCTGGGTTGGCAGGAAATGCCCTGCAGCTCGGAAGTCGCCTCCCCGGGCCAGTGTGACCCTGCTTGCGCGTCCTTGGCTGTTAAGTGTGGCTCAGGGGGCTGGGGATTTAGCTCAGCGGCACAGCGCCTGCCCGGCAAGCGCAGGGTCGTGAGTTCGGTTCACGGTACCGGAAACCCTCCCCCACAAAAAAAGTGGTTCGGCCTCAGGGGCGACTCTGGGGCCGTCCGCAGCTCCGCAGGTGCTGCTTTCCGGTGCTTTACTAAGGTGTTTCTCCCTGCGCTGTGGGCCGGCGCCCCGCAGCCCTCAAGCTGGATTTGGAGGAGAAGCTGTTCGGACAGCATCTGGCCAAAGAAGTGATTCTCAAGGCGCTGACCGGCTTCAAGAACAACAGAAACCCCAAGAAACCTCTCACCCTGTCCCTGCACGGCTGGGCCGGCACGGGCAAGAACTTTGTCAGTCAGATCGTGGCCGAGAACCTGCACCGGAGAGGCCTGAAGAGTAACTTCGTCCACCTGTACGTGTCGACCCTGCACTTTCCCCACGAGCAGAAGATAAAACTGTACCAGGCAAGCGACCCCACTGTCCCCTGTCGCACGCAGGACGCGCTATAGCTCCGGCCTCTGCTTCTCTGCTTTACATTGCTGCGGCCCCTCTGCCCGGCCTGGTTTCCCAAGTCTGTCCGAAATGGCTTGGAAGATGGACAGATGAAGGTGCTTGTGGGGACGGGGGCGCCGTGGTGCCCTAGGCAGCTCGTTGCTGTGGTGTGTGTTTCAAAAAGGCACGCTGAGGCCAGGATGCGTAGCGCTCTTCTACAGTTTCTCCTTGTGATTGCAAAATAATCCGTAGGGTAGTGGATGCTGTTTCTTTTTTAAAATGGAGCCAGAAGGTGGGCATAGTGGTGCCTTCCTTTGATATCAGATCCCAGCACTCAGAAGGCTGAGGCAGGAAGATCACCATGAGTTTAAGGCCATCCAGAATGATAAAGTGAGACATTGTCTCAAAAAAAAAAAAAAGAAGAGGAGCCCAGATTGTACTTTACAATCTGTGACCTGTGGCAGAGCAGAAACTTGAACTCAGGACTCCCAGCACTCAGTTTTTCCCCAGTAGGTGAGCTACAGTGACTGGAGACTGCTGAGCATTTCTAGCAGGGCTGTTGGTGTTGGGGGGCGGATCGCACCCCATGGCACAGTCCCAGGTTGCCTCTGTGTTTGCAGGGAAGACTGGAGGGTTTTTCTTCCTCACTGTCCCATCTGTGCCTCCTGTCCTTCACGTCTTTGGCGTTGCTTTTGTTAAAGCTTCAAAGAACTGAGCGCAGACCTGCTTGCTTCTCCTGAGGCTCTTTCTGCCTTTGTGGCCCTTGTCAAGGTTACTGTGCCTGGGCCGGGGATGTAGCTCAGCAGCACAGCGCAGCACCTGCCTGGCAAGCGCAAGGTCCTGAGTTCTATTCCCGGTACTTTAAGAAAAAAAAAAAAGAAAAAGGTTAATGTTCCTGTTGTTAGGCTGGAGGAAATGAGAACTAGAAACTTCACTGTACACAGAAGTGAAAGCATTTACCATCCAAACTGCAAAGAGGGAAGAAAGCCAGAAGGCAGAAACCATTTTCTTGTCTTCTGAATGCTGTTACCAGGCGCTTATAACAGAGCTGGGCAAGGTGGTGCACATCTGTAATCCCAGCACTTGGAAGCTGAGGCAGGAGGATCTTGAGTTCGTAGCCAGTCTGAACTGTACAGCGAGACTGCACCGAGAAAAGGATACATCTTTTGAAATATTGTAAGATAGATGAAGGTGCAGGGGGGTCCTGTGGTTGTGGATATTACGTTTTGCAGTTGAGAGCTTGTTGCCTGGGGACTCAGCATTGCAGCTGTGAGCGCAGCTCCGTGGTGAGCGCGTCCCTGGCGTGTGCGAGGCCCTGGGTCCCAGCCGTGCTTTTCCGGAAGTGTCGCCTTGGTCAGCTGCTTTGCGCAGGGCGTGCATCGAGGCCTGGTCTGGGGAGGCCTCTGGTTCCTGATTCTTCGGGATCCGTGCCAAGTGTAACTGGAGATTTCAGTCTTGTACCTCCCGCACGTTTGTTTTGTTTTGCTTTAGAGACAGAGTCTCACTGCATAGTTCAGGTTGGCCTTGGACTCACCCTGTAGCCCAGGCTGGCCTTGAACTCCTGGCAGTCCTGCCTAAGCCTCCCAAATGCTGGGACCATCGGTGTGTGCTACCACACCTTGCCAGTTTCCACTTGTAAAATCTGTAACAGCTGTTAGCAGGGGAGTGGAGGCAGAGGTGAGGGTGCGGGTCTGAGAGCTCCCCGTAGCCTGAGGGACCCCGGCTCTCTTCCGGCCCGCCACCCGTGTGCATGCTCTGAGCAGCCCCCTCTCTCTGGCTGGCTCCAGGATCAGCTGCAGAAGTGGATCCGTGGGAACGTGAGCGCGTGCGCCAGCTCGGTGTTCATATTTGACGAGATGGATAAGCTGCACCCCGGGATCATCGACGCCATCAAGCCTTTTCTCGACTACTACGAGCAGGTGGATGGAGTGTCCTACCGCAGGGCCATCTTCATCTTCCTCAGGTCAGCAGGGACAGGGAAGACCCAGTGACCACCTGCCCTTTGTTTTGTTTCTCTTTTCTTTTTTGTTTTTTTGAGACAGGGTCTTGCTATGCAGCTCAGGCTGGCCTTGAGCTCACTTTGTAGGCCAGGCTGGTCTCCAACTCACAATGACCCTCCTGCCTCAGCCTCCTGAGTGCTGGGATTATAGGCGTGTGCCACCACACCGGGCTGTTTTTTGTTTTTGTTTTTGTTTTTTTGAGATAAGCTCTTATGATGTAGTCTAGACTGGTCTTGAATTCACTATGGAGCCCAGGCTGGCTCCAAACTCATGGGTATACTCCTGCCTCAGTTTCCCAAGTGCTGAGATGACAGGCATGTTCACCATGCCTGGCCAAAAACATTTTTTGTTTTGTTGTTTTTTTTTTGAGAGAAGGTCTTGCTATGCAGTTCAGGCTGGTCTTAAACTCCCCATGTAGCCCAGGCTGGCCTTGAACTCGTGGCAATCCTCCTGCCTCAGCTGCCACAGAGTGCTAGGATTACAGGCGTGCATCACCACACCTGGCCAACATTTTTAAAGTGTTGGGTGTGGTGGCACACCCGTGTCTTTCCAGTTCACTGAGAGGCTAAGGCAGGAGGATCACAAGTTCGAACCCAGCTTGGCCAGTTTAGTGACTAGTGAGATCCTGTCTCAGAGTAAAAAGTACAAAGTGCTCAGCGGTGCAGCACCTGCCTGGCGAGCAGCAGGTCCTGAGCTTCATTCCTGGCGTCCACACACACACAATAAAAAATACAAAATGCTGGGGGTGGAGCCCAGTGCAGAGGCCCTGGGTTCAGTCCCCGTTCTGTAAAAGCTCAGAGCAGGGCACAGGCGTACGTCCCTACGAAGCACAGGAGTCTCAGTGTGTGACTTGGGTCTTATTTCTCCGGTCGACCTAGCAACGCAGGCGGGGACCTCATCACCAGGACGGCGCTGGACTTCTGGCGGGCAGGGAGGCAGAGGGAGGAGATCCAGTTAAAGGACCTGGAGACTGTGCTGTCCGTGGGCGTCTTCAACAACAAGCGCAGTGAGTCCCCCGGTGCTGCAGCAGGGCCCTGTCTGTCTTTGGTTTCTTGAGACAGAGTCTCATGGGATCTCACAGTGCTGGGCTTGAACTCACAGAGATCCTCCCGCCTCTGCTTCCTGAGTGCTGGGATGATAGCAGTGGCCACCACACTCAGTTCCCAGCAGGGCACGGTCTTCTCGGGTGTTCCTAGGGCATTAGTGGAGTGTCCAGCGGAGACACCTGTCATGCTTGTAGCACACTCACCACAGCGAGTCTGGGGCAGGCAGCCAGAGAGTCCTGGGGCGGGGACCGGAGGTGGCATGTGGCCGGGTGGCAGGGTCAGGCGGGAAACCCTCTGCGTCTCGTTGGCAGGCGGCCTGTGGCACAGTGGCCTGATAGACAGAAACCTCATCGATTACTTCATCCCCTTCCTGCCCCTGGAGTACAAGCACGTGCAGATGTGCGTGCGTGCGGAGCTCCGGGCCCGCGGGGCCGCGGTGGACGAGGAGGTTGTCACCAAGGTGGCGCAGGAAATGACGTTCTTTCCCAAAGACGAGAAGATCTACTCCGACAAGGGCTGCAAGACTGTGCAGTCCCGGCTGGATTTCTACTGAGCAGGCCTGGCCTCGAGGAAGCACTTTAAAGACCCTCCGGGGTCTGCACACTTGCACCTGGGGACGTTGGGGGCCTCGGGGTCCCGAGTGAGCTGGGACCCTGATCCTCACCTGAACCCGCTGCGCTGGAGCAGTTTTTAAAGTCCCCATCATCCACCGCTGCCTTCACCCAGTGCCTTAGGACAGCTGTTGCGTGGCCCGGGAAGCCACTGCTGTGACGTAAGGGGTCCTTGGCACCCCTTGGGCGCCCATGCCACCCACCAGGGTCGCTCCCACCCTGCACTGCTTTGCACGAAGAACTGCCAACACAAGCGTTTCTCGCAGCCTCGGGTGGCACTGGTGGAGGCCAGCGGGGTCTGCGGGGAGGATGTGGCACCCGTGGCCTCCTGGCCCCCGTGGAGCAGGACGCACAGGGCCTTGGGTGGTGCTGAGCTCTGGCCGTGGGGTCCCCTCGTCCCCGTCCCATTCTAGTCACAGGCAGTACTAGACCCACGGCCCGTCCTTGCCAGAGCCTGAGGGGCACGGGAGCCTGGTGCCCGCGTCCACAGCCTCTCCTGTTACACTCCCCCCTGGTCAGGCTCGGTCGTGCAGGACCACGGGGAGCTAGTTTCTACTCCTTGATCTTAGGAGGTTACTTTTATTTTTGGTTCTGTTTTTTTGAACTGGGAACCAAACTCTCACTTACCAGGCGGGCACTGCACTGCTGAGCTATACCTCTGGCCCTTTGGTTTTTTTGAGGCAGGGTCTCACTATGTAGCCCAGGCTGGCCTCGAGCTCTTGGCAGTCCTCCTGGCTCAGCCTTCCGGGTGCTGGGATGACAGGCACGGACACAGTGGCGGACACTGCAGTGTTTCATAGCCAGGGAAGGAAGAAAATGGAACCGTTGCTTCTCTTCTCAGCTACTCGAAACATGGTGCGAATTTTCACTCTTAAAGGCAGCATATTGTGGCCACAGTATAGGTCAAACAAGGTCATGTTACCATGTCGCCCTGTGGTACGAGGCCAGGCTGCACTTCACAACCAAGACTTGACGTTAGTACCGGGTGCGGCACTGTTACACGTGCAGCGTGGCAGGAGGGGACTGTTTCCATGGAAAGCCCCAGAGCGCATCAGACGCAGCCTTCACAGAGTGCCAAGGTGAGCGGGCATGGCGGCACCCACCTGTGATCCCAGCACTCCGCGGCTGAGACGGGAGGATGGCTGAGATCAAAGCCAGCCTGAACTGCTTATCCAGACCCTGCAAAACTTAACGTTTTAGGGCTTAGTCTCATTGGAGCTGAGTTACCTTTCTTTTACAACCTGTGGAGTGCCCAGTGTTGAGCGGAGGACGTTTACGATGACGCAACAAACCCCTGACGTGTTGGCTACCTTTGGCGAGGCTGTGTCAGTCCCGCCCCGCCCCGCGTGAGATGGGCCAGGAGCGTGGACCGACCCCGTGAATCGGGAGCAATAAAGCCTAAAGGTTATGTCATGAAGTGTCACTTGCCTTTTTCTCCCAGTTTATTTGGCAACAAAATCTGAGCTCAGACCAGCTAGGCGTGGTGGCGCACGCCTGTGATCCCAGCACTCTAGAGGCTGAGGCAGGAGGATCTTCAAGTTCCAGGCCAGCCTGGGCTACACAGTGAAACAAAGACCAATAAAAAATACCGTTAGTCTCCCCCAGGTCTGCATGGCTGCTGGGCCTCTCAGCTGCTCTGGAATGCCACAGTGACATCGAGAACCCTGGGGAGTGACCCTGTGCTGCTGGGTGAGGGGCCCAAGTTGGCCCACGGCCGCAATCCGGGTCAGACCTCATCTCATTCCAACTAGGACTGCCTTTGTGCCAGCCTGAGCTCCAGCCACGGTCGTGGGTGCTGTTTAAAACCTGTGCTCAGGCTGGGTAAGGTAGAAACTCGGGGGGGGGGGGCGCTGAGGCAGGAGGATCGTGGCGAGTTCGAGACCAGCCTGTGCTAAAAGTAAGCTCAAGGCCAGCCTGAACTGCATAGCGAGACCCTGTCTCAAAAAGACAAAAAAAAAAGAAAAACTTCTTGGAGCCAGGTGTGGTGGCACTACCTCTAATCCCAGTACTCTGGGAGGCTGAGGCAGGCAGATGGATTGCAATGCTAAGATCAGCCTGGGCAACTTAGCATGTCTCTAAATAAATATTAATAAAGGGCTGGGGATGGTATGCAGAGGGAAGACCCTGGGCCCCATCCCAGCACTCTATCCATAAATAAGACCAGAAGCCCGTTTGTGGCCCCTTTGGAAGGGGCGCTTAGGCTTTCCTAAGTTTGGGGAGTTCTGCTCTAACATAATGAAAACTAGTAAGAGACCAGGCAGCTGTTCAAGGCTGTGACACACCACACCGCATGGCCATTCAGAATGTGCACACATGCTAGACAAGAGGGCAGAGAGGCCCCTACTGGGCCCGGGCTGCGGTGGCTGGTCACTTCAGGACTTGCTTCTGAGCCAGCCGGGTGACACAAGCCTGTCATCCCAGCATGCGGGAGGCTGAGGCAGGAGGACCAGCGCCTGGGCGTTTTGGTAGCTGAGACAGGAATTTAATGTACACAAAACTAGTAATTTAGAATCTAAAAAGTTTCTCAGGATGTTAAAAGCCATCTTAAATAAAGTTATACATTTCCAGTAAAACCCTTTCTTCTTTAAAACAAAAACACATGAAATTAAAACATAATTTTTTTTTTTTTTCTGCAACAAGGTCTTGTTACGCAGTTCAGGCTGGCCTTGAGCTCACTTTGTAGCCCAGGCTGGCCTCGAACTCACAGTGATCCTCCTGCCTCAGCCTCCCGAATGCTGGGATGACGGGTGCACCAGCGCACCTGGCTTAACACATACTTTTTAAAAATTCATGGGAGGAGTGGGCTGGGAGCTGGTCGCTTCCTCCTGGAAGGTTCTGAAAGTTTCCGTCTGTGCTCATGACCCCCAAGTGTGGCTGCCCGCGGCCCCCATGGAATGAAAGCAGCGCGCAGAGCTCCGTCGCATCCCACGGGCACAGCCCGGAGCCTTGTCCCGGCTGCGGCTGGGTGAGTGTGGGGCCGTCAGTCATCGAGGTAATAATCCAACTTGGTGAACACAGTTTTGCAGCCCTTGTCGGAGAACACTCTCTCCTCCTTGGGGAAGAACGTCATCTCGTCGGCCACCCTGCTTACGATGTCCTCGTCGATCTCATAGCCGCGGGCCTGCATCTCCACGCGGATGCACATCTTGAGGTGTTTGTATTCCAGGGGGAGGAAGGGGACGAAATAGTCGATGAGGTTCCGGTCAATGAGGCTGCTGTGCCAGAAGCCACCTGCAAGACAAGAGGCGCCGGTCAGACGCCACCCACCTGGCAGTCTGTCTGACCGTCCAGTCACCCACCCGTCCATCAACTCATCCGTCTGTCCACCATCCATTCCGGCCATCCGCTCGGCCACCCGACATGCCCCGCTGGGTGCGCACACCGGGCTGCTATGGTGATGAGGCAGAAGGTCACAGGGAGCCGCTAACCCAGTGACAGGCTGTGACCCTGCAGGGACAAGGCCAGGGTGCCACCACAGACTGGAAAGGGACACTTCCTTTTGTCCTCAGGGAGGCCCGCGAGTGTGACAGCCATGGAGCTGGGGGGTCACAGGCCCAGGCTGTAGGGGCCGGGACGTGGGGGAGGCTGAGGGGAGGGAGTGACGCCCAGGCGGGCAGTTCCGAGAGCACGACGGTGGCCGATTCCCGGGAGGCGCCTCAGCAGGGCCCCTCTGTCCCAGACACCTTGGCCCCTCCCTGCCAGGAGCATCGGGGCCAGAACCAGACTCCTTGTGGGTAACGAGCTGAACGCACGCTCTGCTGCACCCCAGGAGCGGGGCTCTGCACTGCCCCTCGCGCCCTGGGCTCCGGCCCCAGTGCCAGCAGAACGGCTCAAACCCTGGCCTCACGGCCGCAGCACTGGGCTACAGGGTCTGCCGTGTGGCTGCAGGCACGTTCTCGGGCTGGCCAAGAAGTTCCAGCATTTTACAAGAGGTTCTTCTACCCGAGGTGATACACCAACCCCCACCACCCACAAGCCCTGAGGTCACTCTCCAGGTGACCCTCAAGGTCACAGCTTAGGTTTTGCTGCCTCCAGGGGCAGAGCACACCCTGAGGGCTTCCTCCTGGCCTCAGCCCCACCCCGGCTCCACCTCCCAGGGCTGGGCAGAGGTGTGTGTGTGTGTGTGTGTGTGTGACATCCGGGAGGCCGGAAGCTCCACAGGAAGGCTCAGCTTCTGGGATCTGGGGTGCCCGACGGGCTGAGTGGCCCAGGGAGGCTGATACACTTCTCTGTAAAACTGGTTCCTCATCTGTAAACCTGCAATAAGTACAGCTTCAGCTGTTTTTCTGAGACAGCGTCTGGTTATGTAGCGGCTGGCCTGGAAGGAAGGCCGATCCTCCTGCCTCAGCCTCCTGAGTGCAGGGATGACAAGGCATGCACCACCACGCCCAGCTTTCAGGGTTGTGGCTACGAACAGTTTCCCTCTGTCTCAAAGAGCCCTGCTCAAACTTCCGCGGGAAAAACTGCCTGGAAGGTGGAAGCCTGGGCTGCAGGCCGGGGCCACTTACTGTTCCTATTGTTGAAGACCGACACGGACAGGGCCTGCTCCATGTCCCTCAGCTTGATGTCCTCCCTGCTCCGCCCGCCACGCCAGAAATCCAGCGCCACGTCGGTGATGCGCTCGGCTCCTGCGTTGCTGCAAGACAGGGCGAGAGGGGTGGGCTTACTCCCAGCTTGGACAGGCTGAGCGCTGAGGCAGCGGACCAGCCTGCTCACCTGAGGAAGATGAAGATGGCCTTCTGGTAGGAGACCTTGTCTACCACGCCGTAGTAGTCCAGGAAGGGCTTGATGGCGTCGATGAGGCCGGCGTGCATCTTGTCCATCTCGTCAAAGATGAAGATCGACCTCGCGCAGGCGCTCACGTTGCCTCGGATCCACAATTGTAACTGATCCTGAGTTAGAAGCAAAAAGCAAGAGTCAGAGCTCTGTGCATGACGGAGACTTTCTTTTTTGTCAGCACTGGGTGTGGAAGTCAGGACCTCTGCAGGTCACATAGGAGCTCTACCAGAGCCCCACCCCGACCCTCTGCCACATCTGTGGCACATTCTGTGAGAACGGATCTGGGCACTTTGTTGTTGCTGAGGCTCAAACCCGGGCCTTCAGCACGCTAGGGAAACAGTACCGTGGGCCACATTCCCAGCCCCGGTACCTCTTTTCCGTTCTGTCCTGCAGTACTGGGCCCTGAACCCAGGGACTTCACATTGAGCTACATCCACAGCCTCTTTTCCAATTGTTTTTCTTAATTTTGAGATATAATCTTGCTAAATTAGTAAGTACCCAGGCCAGGCTCAAACTCAAGATCTTCTTGCCTCAGCCTGCTTGAAGGCTGGGATGGTAGCTGTGTGCTGCCAGGTCTGGCTCAGGGTTCTTATAGCACTGAACAACGGAGGGAAGGAGGCCCTCGGAAGCCTTGCCGTTGGGAAACTGGGCCGAGGTCTATATAATACACTTTGCGCCCACATAGCAGGGCGGAGCGGTTAGCTATTTTCTAAAAAAAATACTCTGGAGCCACGACGTGGACCTTTCTGTTTGGGGGCGCTCCGTGGTCGCTGTGACCATGGTTACGGAGATCTGTGCCAAGGTCTAGTATGACTGGCAGTGGTGCTCGGGTGCATGGACTAAGGCAGCCTGGCAAGTGGAAGCAGCTGGCTCTGGATGAGTCACCGTGTACACAAGGGCAGGGATTCCTCCAGCGCGGCTATACCGGCCAGCAGCTAGCATGGAGGGACACAGAACATATGTTCGGGGCCAGCGAGGGCAGGACAGCAGCCTAAATGCCACTTCTACTGCAGCTCTCCTAGCCAGGTATGGTGGCACACGCCTATAACCCTACCATCCCGGAGGCTGAGGCAGGAGGATCGCTGCAAGTTTAAGGCCAGCCTGGGCTACATAGCAAGACCCTGTCTCAGAAAACCAAGCAAACAAGAAAACCATCCAGGGAGTAATACTGAGTGCTCCTTTTCCCACAGATGAGAAAGTTCGGGTACAGAGAGATTAAGCAACCCACCCCAAATCACAGTCGTTAGGGTGAAGGAGCGTCATTCCCTAACTAGATGACCTATTCAGCCTGGTCTGCCCTGGACTTTCCTAGTTTCAGCAAGAAAGCGGCACACCCTGGGAACTCCTGACAGTTGTCAGCCGGAAAAAATTCATTCACACAGGCCAGGATGTTTCCACCCACCTTTTGCATCTGTTTCTGGGATTTTAAAAGGCAACACTTGGCAACTGAAGTTCCCAGCAGACACTAAGTTACAGAACCGACAGGCCACCTCTTACAGCACCATTTCCTCCTGAGGAACCTGCTTCTCAGAGAGGTCAGGTACCTTCCCTAAGGCTGCACAGCTGGTAGGGGAAGTCAGGACCAGGACCCAAGTCTAGGTGTCTGCAGCCAGAGCCTGAGCTGTCAATCAGCAAGTTAAGTGCAAAAACAGTCTGCAACACATTATATTTTTTCTCTTTTTTTTTTTGGTAGGGGAAATGGAACTCATGACCTCAGCCTTGCCAGGCAAGCACCTATGACATTGAGCTATATCCCCACTAACAGTTACGTTATAGCACACAAGGCCTCTCAAAATGTTTCGTCCTAGCCGGGCAGGGTGGCACATGCCTGTAATCCCAGCACTTGGGAGGCTGAGGCAGGAGGATGGTTGCGAGTTTGAGACCAGCATGGGCTACAAAGTAAGCTCACGGCCGGCCTAAACTGCACAGCGAGACCCTGTCTCAAAAAGACAAAACTAAACAAATCAAAATGTTTCCTCCTTCACAAAATGAGCGAGATTTTATCTTTTTGTTTGTTTTTTGCTTTTTTTGAGACACAGTTTTGCGGCCTTGATTCACCATGTAGCTCAGCCTTGCCTTGAACTTGCAGCAATCCTCCTGCCTCAGCTTCCCAAATGTGCCACCACACCTGGCAAGATGATCTCTAACCTGGACTTGATCATGTCCATCTCTGAAATTCTGTGACCTCACTTACTAATAAATAGCTAAGTGTTATTGGGCTTAGTTTTAGAAACTGCCACAAGTTTTTGTTTTTGTTTTTGACTTTTTGAGACAGGGTCTCACTATGCAGTTCAGGCTGCTCTCAAACTCACATCGATCTTCCTGCCTCAGCCTCCCAAATGCTGGGATTACAGGCATGTGCCACCACACCCAGCTGCCACAAACTTTGATGGGGTCACTGCTCTGTAGATGTCAAACCATCTGTAAGGTGCAAACGTTTTGAAGAGGAATTAATGTCAGGAAGCTGTCCATGCCTGTAATCCCAACATTTGGGAGACTGAGGCAGGAAGATCTCTATGCGTTAAAGGGCAGCCTGGGCTCTGTAGCAAGATCCTGCTTCAAAAAAGTGAAACAAAATGCAAAGGGGAAGTGGCACAGGGAGCCAGGGTCAGGCTCACTCCCTTCAATGCCATATTGCCAAGCCCCGTCCCTCATCAAAGCAACCCAAGCCCGTCTGTGTCCTCGGGAGGCTCCTGCGCCTGCCTTATAGAGGGAGATGTTGGAGGCGTGCGGGAAGTGCAGCGTGGCCACGAACAGGTGCACATAGTCACTGTTCAGCCCGGCCTCGTAAATGTTCTCCGCGATGATCTTGCTGACGAAATTCTTGCCGGTGCCCGTCCAGCCGTGCAGGGAGAGGGTCAGCGGCTTCTTGGGTTTCGGGTTGCTCAGGAAACCGGACACGGCGTTCACGATGACCTTCTTTGCAAGATGCTGTCCGAAGAGCTTGTTGTCCAGGTCCTTCTGCAGCGCTGGGAAGGACAGGGTCGGTCAGGAGGGGGCACGGCTGGCGAAACTCGGCCCGGATGCTGCTCCTTCCGGGGCCACCACTCTGCACCCCGAGGTGCACCGGAAGGGCCCCCCACGCCCCAGGTGGTAAGGAGGCGGAGCTCTCGCGGAGTTCGCAGCCGCTCCCGGTCCCCGCAGCTCGTCGCCTGGGCCAAAGTCCGGCCGGGCTGTGGTCGTGTCACCGCGCCAGGCCCCATCCCCGGCCGGACCGCCCCGCTTCCGGGGTCCGCCGGCCTCGCCCGGCCCTGCCTCTACTTACCCTCCCGGCTCAGGCTCCGACTCTGGCCGCAGCACTCGGCGAAGAAGCAGTAGAGATGCGGGTAGGAGATGTAGCTGGTGAGCACGCCGGCCAGCGCCAGCCCGACGCTGATGGGCTCCACTGCGCGCACCACACACGGGGCCAGCAGCAGCAGCAGCAGCAGGGCCAGCGCGGCCCGGTCCAGCTTCATGCCCGGACCCGCGCCGCCCCGCGCGCTCCTGCGCCGCCGGCGATCCGCGCTCCGTCCGACGCGCGCTTCCGGTTCCGCCCCGCCGTGGCCGCCCTCTTTGTTCCGGGCAGGCCTCCTCCTGACCCCGGAGGTCGCCATCTTTGTTAGGGGCAAGGCTCTTTCCCACTTATAAAGGATTATGGCAATCTGCTGATGATCACTTTTTTTGTTTTTAAATAAGACTATATTTAAAGCACAGTGTTAGATTACAGAGAAGTTGAGAAAATACAGAAGGTAGCCATGTACCGTCCTCCTAGTTTCCCCATTATTAAAATCTTGTACTAGTATGCTACATTTGTTACAATGATTGAACCACTATTGCTACATTCCCAGCCGCACAAATCTTTTGTAATATGCTTCTCTGTTGGAAGTTGTTTTTCTCACAGTTAGAGTAGGGTTATGGGTTTGGGAAGGGTCACAGAGGCACGGTGCTGTTTCCTGGCATCGTACTTCAGGAATGGGTCAATATGGTCTGGTTGATAGGGACCTTGACCTCCTCTTCCTCCTGCCCTCCTCCTCCCCGCTATGCTCTTTGGGAGTCACTGTGCAAGGCGCCGCTAGGGAGTGGGGAGTCTTTGCACCTCGTGGAGGGCAGAGTAGCTGTAGAATTATTCAAGTGTTCTGCATGTCTCCCGCTTGTTCAGTCATTCCCCCACCACGGACCCAGTGGTTATTTTATACTTTGGGTTGTAATCCACACCACCTATTTTTTGGCTCAACATGTTTTTGCATTAGCCCTGGGGTGTGTCAGCTGGTGTCCCCCATGCTCCTTTGACACACACCTATGTACCGACACACATCTGTTCATGGGGGTTTGTTCTGAGCATGTCCTTGCTTCCTGGCACTAAGGATGGCCTGGCTGTCGTATCAGTCACTTGCCCATAGAGCCCTGCTTCCCTGAACTGGAGAACAGGGAATGCTGAGAGTGCCCCTGTCATCTCAGGTTGTTAGCTGACAGCAAAGCATCAGGTTCGCGTGTGCCGAGCGTGTACACACATAGCTGAGCATTTTCATAAGTAACCACCTGTAACCCAGTTAAGCCAGGCAGATGTCCTACTGACATCTCCAACTTGTATCCATGGCTCATTCAAGCCTCTTCCCTTGCTCATCTCTTAATCCCTAGCCCAGTGGTAAGAAATCTGGCTCCTACCCTCTGCTGGCCATTGGCCACTCTCCCCAGCCGGTGGCCCAAGTTCAAGTTTGTGGCCGCAATCTGTACCCTGCATGCACACCGCGGTCAGCTGTGTGCTCCTTCCTCAGCCCAGCGGAGGGGAACCTGGCCCGCAGGGGGGCTCAGCTGTCATCCATGTGGCCCGAGGGCGTGGACCGCAGTCCTCCACTGGAAGGAGACAATTCAAACAAGGTCGGATTCAATTTGTATTTAATAATTAAGTTCTTGAAGTGGAAGGAAGTATTCCTTTATCTTCTTAATGAAATGTAACTTTGTGAAAGTCAGAAAATCCTAGTGTCCCTGATTTCATCCTAGACTTTTCTGCTGCCTGTTGGACCCACTCTAAACAACAGAACCTTTTTTTTTCTTTTTCTTGGAGTCATTGGGGATGGAACCCAGGGCCTTCGCACTGAGCTCCATCCCCAGCCCTTGTTTGTTTGTTTGAGACACGGTCTGGCTAAGTTGCCCAGGCTGGGCTAAAACTCAAGACTCTCCTGCCTCAGGCTCCCAGAGTGCTAGGATTAAAGGTATGAACACCGTGCGGCTGCAGATGCAATCTTACGGGCACAATCTAAAGGGGACCACTGCACCATCAACGCATAGCTATTTCCTCACCCAGAACAAGCGTTGAGAGAAAGTCAATGTATTTACAAACAAACTTTACCAGTGCTCATAAAATGTTTGTCATCCAATGGGAAAGCTACACACTGTCTTGCTGACAAAAGTCCCACAGTGAGTATGACACCCCCAGCGGGTGGCAGCAGCCGCAGCTGCTTCTCTCTGGGGGCTGTGTCTGCTGGCAGGAAGCAATGGGCTGCAGGGCCCTACAAACATTCTCAGAGCAGTCTCAGTACCGCCTGTTCATCTTCTTGAACTTCTCGTAGTGGTAGTCGTCAGTGGCTTTCTCATTAGCGGGACGCTTGCGGTTAGGCGGGGACCCTGAGGAGCACAACAGGCCAGGCTGTCACCAAGCCGGAACTCGCCTCCAGACCTGGCACGCAAAGGCGGGGACCAGGCTGTCTCAGCCCCCATAAGGGCCCCGAGCAGGCTGGTGCAGGACAGCGCAGAGGGCCTTGGGAAACAGCCGTCAGCTATGAGTAACTTTTATTTGCAGAAGTTACTTTCTTCCTTTCTGGTTTTTTGAGATAGGCTCTTGCTACGTAGCTCAGGCTGGCCTTGAACTCACAGCAATTCTAACACCCATTCCACAAACCAGGAAGCTGAGGCTCAGAAAGAGGGTGGGGGCTCAGGGTCAGGCAGGGTCAGGAGCAGGGGCCAAATGCAAGGGCCCCATGAACACCCGCAGCCCAGGCTGCACTCACGCTCGGGCTCCGGCTTCTCCGTGTCACCCACGCGCAAGGGCCGCGCCTTGGGCTCTTCTTTGTTCCTCCGGATGGGGGCGTTGAGCTCCTCGTGATAGACTAAAGCAGACGAGAAGGGAGCGTCAGACAAGGGAGGCGCCGCCCTCTCCCGCGCGGTGGGGGGCGCCTACATCGGTTGTGCTGCACGTAGTTCACGGCCATGTTGGTGGGCACGAAGGACGTCTCGCTGTCCTTCTTCTTGTTCTGCTGCTCTGCCAGCAGGCGGGCCTTGGCATCTTCCGTGGAGATGATGTTTTTTATCTTAGCACTGCGGGCAGAAAGGAAGTGTGCCCCATATGGAGCGCATGGGCAAGGCTGGTGGCCCTGCGCTGCCTAAGGAACTGATCCCGCACAGCTCTCCCCCCAGCTCCTGTGCAGTCACTCTTTCTCTTTTGAGACAGGGTTCACAATGTAACTCTGGCTGGCCGGCGATCCTCCTGCCTCAGCCTCCTGAGTGCCGGGATGACTGTATGCACCACCATGCCCGGCTCGGTCATGCTCTTAACAGTGCTCAGAGCCAGGGCAGACCAGGAGCTGCTCCTCTTTTGTGACAGGAAATCAAGCATCACCAAGCAAAGTGAGCTTCCCGAGCCCACAAAAGAGGCAAGGGCCCAGCGTCCCAGGACTCATCTCTACCCAGAGAGGGCACCAGCCACTGCGCTCTTCCCGGATGCTCCCCTGGAAGCAGGAGCTTCGGTTAGTGCACGGGGACCCGGCGAGAGGGGTGAGCCGCAGCAGGCTCCTGCGGGCACACCAGAAGCACGGAGGGCTCCGGGGACTGCAGGAACAGAGGCAAGGGAAGGCTTTTCCTTCCGGGGCTCTTTGTGACCTCAAGGCTGCAGCAGCTCTGACCCCACCTCCCAGGTGACAACCCGCCAGAACAGGGAGCAGGACTTCCGGCCCGGGCTCCCAGGGGCCGCACGCACTCGATGCCCAGGTCCACCTCGGGGATGCCGCTCAGCATCTGGTTGGACAGCATCTCCTCCGTCTTCTTGGCCGAGGACACACGGATGCTTTCGGGGAGCTCGTACAGACAGTCCTCCGCGTTCTTGGGCTTCACCTTCTGCTCCTCGTGCTCCACGATCCCCTTCCTCTTCTTCAGCTCCGTCTCGATGTACTTCATCCTGGGGTGGAGGCGCAGGCGTCCGCTCGGCCGGGGCTCCCCACGCTGCCCACGAGGGTGCGCCCGCCACTCCACGGAGGACAGCAACACCCAGAGAACCCGAATGCTTTTTCCTTTTCGGTTTTTTGAGTTAGAACCTTACTACGTAGCCCAGGCTGACCTCACACTCAAAGCGGTCCTCCTGCTTCAACCTCCCAAGTGCGGGCAGGATAGAAATGAGCCACTGTATCTGGAGGTAGTTATTATTTTAAAAGCTTTGTTGGCCAAATAAAAAGCGAGGAAGTCCATGTCTATCCCTGTAACGTTTAGGGGAGAAATATGACTAGTCAAGGAATTTTAAAATCCCAACCACCACTCTTTTAAACAGTTTTTTTCTCTCAACATACGATCTTGCTGTGTTCCCCAGGGTGGCCTCAAACTCTTGATTCAAGTGATCCTCCAGCCTCAGCCTCCCGAGTAGCTAGAATTACAGGAGTGTACCACCATCCCTGGCTAAAGAACTCTTAGGAGGTTTGCAAAATTCTCAAGCCCAAGAGGTAGGGTGACATCTAGAAAGTTCTAGAAATGTCATCTGTGATGAAACCTCTCAGACCACATGTCTTACTAGCCCAGCCTCCATCACCCACGGCCAGGTACCCTGCACCTACATGTCTGCGTCCTCGTCCCTCCGGTTGGTCTCTGCAGAAAACGACGTCCCCAAGTGCAGGTCTTCCTCCTCACTGATCCTGGAAGGAGAGGGCATAAAAACTCTAGGAATTTCAGCAAGCAAACAGCTGGCTCCTGGTGACAGTCCTGGGAAAGGAGGAGATACATTTATTTTTTAAACTTTTGTAACATTTGGATGGATTATTTTGTAAGTTTTAAATACAAAGCTTCTGGGGCCAAAGATATAGCTCAGTGGCTCAGAGCCTGTCTGGCAAGCACAAGGTCCTGAGTTCAATTCCCAGTACTAAAAAATAAATAAATAAATACAATACTTCCACAAGAGTTTGAAAGAAACCTATAAGGCACTTTTAGAAAAGAAATCTAGCTGGGCATGATGGTGCATGTCTATAATCCCAGGACTAGGGAGGGTGAGGCAGGACAATCATTGTGAGTTCAGACCAGCCTGGGCTTCAAAGTGAGCTCAACCTGAACTGCAAATGGAGCAAAAAGAAGAAGAGGAGGAAGAAGAAGAGGAAGAAGAAGAGGAAGAAGAGGAGGAAGAAGAGGAGGAAGAAGAGGAGGAGGAAGAAAAAGAAGAAAAAGAAGAAGAAATCTAGCCCCTTGGCTCTGAGCTAACTTTTGTTTTGAGACAGGATCTTGCTATATAGACCAGGTTGGCATTGTACTTGCAGCAATCCTTCTGCCTCAGCCTCCCAGTTGCTGGTATTACAAACACGCACCACTGCACTCAGCTATCTGAGTTAACTTTTAAAGAGTTTTGTTTTTTTGTGGTGCTGGGATCAAAGCCAGGGCCTTGCACATGCTAGCCCAGTGCTTTACCACCGAGCCACACCCAACCCGTCCTTTTGTTTTTAAACACACCCTTTACAAAGCATGAAGCCCACTTCCAAATGTTCTCTGAAAGGTCCCGCTGCAGTCCCAGCTCTCAGAGGGTGCTCAGACCCAGGCAGAGGCTGCGGAGAATCTGCATCTCAGCAGTCCTGCACTTACTTATCTTTGCCCCTTTCCTTTAGCTTCTTCATATCCACCATGCCCCCTGTCTTCATCTGGAAGGGGTCATCCTGTAGAAAGCACACACAGCTTAGAGGTGGGACCTCACTGATGGGATTATCATTAGTGTTTAAGAAAACACAATTATCCACAGAGTAGCAGATACAGGGGGGACCTGGAACTTACCACCAGAGTGGTCTCTTCTTGTACCTTCTCCCCCACCAGCAGGGCAGCAGCACTGAGCAAAACCAAAAAAGACAAATGGTGCAATTCAGATAGGAGGAACAGCAGCAGGTTTGTGAAACGCACCATAGTGCAAGGGTGAGACCAGAGGGACGGCAGAAAAGCCAGCTGGAGAGGACCATGAGGATAAAACAGGGCAGCTGGATGGGCAGTGAGGTGCTGAGGGTGTGTGTGGGTGCAGGAAACGGAGTAGTGCACTTTCCTATAAATCCCCAGCACATGATTGTGGCCTAGAAATTAGTGTGGCAAAACGCAAATGTAAGAGACCATCAAAACCTTTTTGGATGGTGAAAATTTATAAATGATCTACAAAGGTTTACTAACAAAGTATAGTGCCTACATCTGGTGGAACATTATACAACTATTAAAAGTTTTCTGAGGTGGGTGTGCTGGTACATGCCAAGGATCCCAGAACTCTGGGAGGCTGAGGCAGGATCTACCCTGGACGACTGAGCAAGGTTCCATCTCAAAGTAAAAATTAAAAAAAAAAAAAAAAGAAGGAATGGCAATGTAGCTCAGTGCAAAGGTCCTGGGTTCAATCCCCAGTACCACAAAACAAAACATTTTCTGAAAAATGTTCCACATAGATTAAATGCCCACAATGTCATAAGCTGAAAAAGAGCCGGGGCTAAACGTACACAAGTAATCGCTAAACGTACACTCTTTTCTAAATTCTCCAGCTCGTAACAGCGTGTATTTCACAGTTAATCGGGTGCGATTATAAGGCGAGTTGGCGACCTGTCTCTGTGCCCCTAGAGCAAAGGCTCAGGGCACTTTGAAGTTAAACGTTTGCAACGAACGCTGTTCTCTCCGGGCAGCAGAATATGTACGTGGGTCAAGAGAAGGGCCAGGCCGGGCGTGGTGGCGCACGCCTGTGAACCCAGCACTCGGGAGGCTGAGGCAGGAGGATCGTTGCAAGTTCAAGGCCAGCCTGGGCTACAAAGTGAGCTCAAGGCCAGCGTGAACTGAATAGGGAGTCCCTGCCTCAAAAAGAAAAAAAAAAAAAAAAAAAAAAAAAAAAAAAAATCAAAAAACAAAAACCAAAGAGAAGGGCCAGGTCCGAGCCGTGTGATGACCCGAGCGGGGCACGTCACTGTCCTCCCCGCCTGCTCCGCCCGCGGTACCCACCTCACCCCGTTGGGCCTCTTCCTCAAGTTCTGTACCTCTCGGGTCTCCTCCAGCTTCAATCTGAAAAACGGCAAAGCACAGGCCGAGAGATCCCCGCACCCAGAGTGAGCAGGGAGCTTCGCGGCTTCCCTGGCCCGCCGCGGTCCGGGGGACCCCGCGCCCAGGGTCCCTGGAAGTGAGACCATCTCGAGGCACCTCTCACTGGGGACTGCGGCCTCACCCCCGGGAGCCTCCATTTCTTTGACAGACGAGCAGCCCGGCTCGCAGTTATGTCGGAGAGGAACCCCGGCGCTGGCCAGCCTCCCCAAGCCTGTCTGTCTGTACCTGGCCTGTGAAACCCCGTCCGAGACCCACCTAACCTCCTGGGAATCTTGCTCATCTTCCTCCGACTCAGAGTCGGCTCGGCGCCGGCGGAAAGTCTTCCCGGTGACCGGCATAGCTTCGGAGGCCCCGCGGTGCAGCCGCCGCGACAACACGCAGAGGCCGAGCTACTTCCGGCGCGCGGCAGCATCGTCAGAGTCCCGACCCCGCCCTGTTCCCCCTAGTCCGCCCTACCCCGCCTCCAGCGCGCACCGCCCACGGCCACGCCCCCTCCCCTGGCGTTGGGCTCTTCCGATTGGACAGCCGAGGGGTGGAGGCGTGGCGCGGCTGCCTAGGGAGACGACCCGGCGCTGCGCAGCCGAGGGCGTGCTTGACTGACAGGCGGCGGCGGCGGCGCGGTGGCTACTGCAGGTGAGTTTCTGGTCGCCGCCGGCCCCCTGGGGGGCCGGGCCTGTCCGAGCAGGAGCGACCACAGCCCGGCTCCGGGCCGGTGGGGCCTGGCCCTGCCAGGTGTGCCGAACGCAGCCGCCAGGTGAGCGGACCGGCATGCCCTGGCCGCCGCCCCTCTCCCCTCCGCGCGGAGGGGCCCCGGCCCGCGCCCCGCCTGAGCCCCCGGACCCGGGCTGCCGTGTCGCCCTTCGCAGTCGCGGCCTGGCCCAGCACTGCGGGTGCGTGTGGCGTCTCCGCGCGCCGAGCGCGTTTCCTCCGGCCTTGGGCCCCGCCGTGCATGTTTTTTTCCTGGGGGACAAAAGATGACCGGGCCTCGGTGGTGGTGCCTCCCAGCCCCGGCGCCAGCTGCCCCGCCGGCGGCGACCCCAGACCTCGTCGTCCCGTGGGGGGCGCGCGGGCGCGTGAAGCCCCTTGGGAGGACTTGGGGACTGGGCCCCCCGGGTGCGCGTGTCTCGCCTCCCAGGACCTGCCCGGGCCTTGTTTTCCTCCTTTGACCAGGAGGACTGTCGCTTTGCTCTCCGTCCTTTTCACCCCGAAGATACTGAGGATAACGGGTGTTTGAAAATCGGGTATCTGCGAACTCTTAGGAAACAGCTCAGGTCAACCGTAATAGCTTACGGGACTTTGGGAGCAGTTTTCCTCTTCCCCATGGGGGCCGATCGTGCTTTGGGAGAACTTATGTCGCGATCTCGTTGAATTCTCCTCCCATCCCAGGAAGGCGATTCATTGGTTTTTCATTTTGCAAATGAGGATCCCCAGACTCAGGCAGTCCGTGCCTGGGTTTCACAGCTGGAAGGGGCACCCAGCTTCCCCCAGTGGCTGGCACTGGCCGTGGGCATGGAGCCGAGTTACCGCCTCTCCCTGGCTGCGGGAGGGGCTGCTGGAGACTGTTAGGGAAGATGGTTCTCAGGCTGGACCGCGTGTCTGGGACGTGTGGCTTCTGTCTGGCACAGTCTCCTCTCAGGGGAGTGTTCTTGTCCTTGGAGGCTGACAAATGGTAGAGGCATGACTTCTTGGAACACCTTTTGGCCCTGGTCGAAAGCCACCACCCAGGCATTGAAAGTCTCAAAACCACACACCTTCCAGACCAGTTCAGCCAAACCTGGTGCATAGGGCACTCACTGGACACAATGTCCCCGGGGCTAAAGGAGACAGAGGCTCCTTGGAAATTGCTGCAGGAAACAAGGGCATGGTGTTCACAGTTCTCTCACTTTGGGAAATGGCTCTGAAGTTGCCCATCTGACACATCTCCCTGCCTCGCTTGGGTGTTGGACATCAAGAAAAAGGCCAGTAGCTGAGGGCATTTCTGGACTGCCCTCCTCCTTATCTCGGATTCCAGGGAGGAGCATTGGGTGCCTGTCAGCTGCCCCCATCCCACCCTCCCCATTAAACCAGAGTGCCTGCGGATACCCACTTCCTGGGCCGGGGCAGGTGCAGCTTGCTGTGCTGGAGATCCTGCCCTGGGCCTTGCGTGCAGGCCAGGTGCCCTGCCACTGAGCTGCACCCTCAGCTCTCGAGGGCAGTCTAGTTGAACAAAAGTCATTCTGAGAGAATTACTTGGGCCCTTTTGAGAGAGGCTCCAGGAAATTCAGGTTCTGTTCAGCTCATGCATGAGTCTTAGGTTTTAACTTTGGGGTCTGTTGGTCAGGGAGCCCGAGTTTGGGCTGGTCTGCCAGCTTCTTGGTAGAGGGGGAGAAATCGGGCCTTGTTTCAGAGTTCAGGGGAGCACTCATGTCTGGTTGGATTTGGGAGATAGAGACTGAGGTCACAGCCCACCGTTGTTCGCATTTCAGAAATGCTTGCAGGACTAATTTATTCACAAGATGTTTACTGAGCATTTACTGTAGAAGTCAAGCACTGTTCCAGGTGCAGAAAATACATCAGTGAGCAAAAGAGACCAAAGATCTCTAGTGGCGGTGATATTCTAACCCCTTAATAAATAAAGTATGTGGAATATGCCAGAAGCTGCAAAGTGCTTTGGCAAAGAGACACACAGACCTGGGGAGAGGACTGGACTGTGGGAGGGAGGCATTGGTACATCTGCTTGTGATCTGATTTCTAGACTCCAGGTTCAAGTCCCGCTGTGCCTGCTTTCTGGGCCCTGGTTGTGAGCTAAGGTTTCCCTGCTCTGAGCCATCTCCACTGGTGTCCCCGTGCTGCCATTGCTGACCCTGTGACCTCTGACTCAGCTGCTTGGTGGGTTTAGAGGTTATTGGGTCTGAAGTTTCTTTACATTTTGTTTAA